ATAATGTTTTTTATTTATGGGTGCATTTCAAAAGTCTCAAGGTCACCTTACAGAGGTCAATAATAATAAAATCACAATCAAACAGTAAACACAATACAAACAATAAAACCAATTAACAGAATAAAATAGTGTAAAGAAATAAGTCACAACAATAAATGATAAACAGTCTTCTCATATAATGGGAGATAATGGGATATACTGTAGTTGCAGAGTTCTATGGTTTTAATGTATWTAATTCTCAACAGATGAGTTTTGAGCTGAGAATTGAAGGTGGCAACGGAAACAGAATTTCTAAAGTCCTGAGGCGAAGAGTTCTAAAGGCGTAGGGCTGCATGGCTGAAGACTCTTGACCTCATGGTGGTCAGGTAAGTAAAAGGAACRGTAAGTTTGGGGGAAGTGGAGGATTTAAGATTGCGTTTGGGAATAAAAGCATGGAGAAATGAGGAAATATACTGAGGAGCAAAGGAGCAGAGTCAAATGGCTCTGACACAGCTAAAACAGCTAWGAGCTGGGGTGGTAGTAGATGAGACCAATCACTAACTTATACAATGAGAGCTACCTGATCCATTTTGCCAATTGTGTTTATTGTTAGCAAAATATTTTTAACATTAGACAGGCTTTCATGATAAGTACAAAAATAATTGAGAAAGRAGAGCAATATTTATTTCAGGAAAGCTACAGTACGTCTTTAAATCGTATTAAGGGTTCTCTTCTCATCTTGTGTCCTTTTATTCCTAACACTTCAACATTTTTATTTCTGCTCAAAACCATATAACCATTCAGATTGTTTTTATTCATTTAAATGTTACCGACTGGCTCAGCTGGTTTGATCATCAGCAGAGGTTCTACGACTCATTGGAGTGACAGGCCTCAGAGGGGTAACCCAAGGCAACCCCGCTTAAACCCCTCTCCTGGGGCTTTTTCCTCTCAACCAATCACTTCCCCAGATGGTGCCGGGTCATCTAGGAAGTAGGAAGTAGGGGTGGACCAATGAAAAAGCAGGCCTGGCCTCTCCTGCTGACCCGTGACACCTACCTTCCACAAAAGAAAACAACAACAACAAAAAATAGACCCAACCTGTCCACCTCCGTTTGTTTTTCTGTGTGTAAAGGAGGAAGGAMCAAGAACATATGTGTTCAGCCATCAAGACAGACAAAAAGTAACTTTCATCGTCATTGTTTTGTTTGTGCGCACACWCATAAACACACGTACAAACACACCCCATCGGGCTGTCAGCAGATTTTAGAGGCTAAATGAGCATTTAGGCTTCATAGCTTCAACTTTATGGCCAAGACAAACAGCACAGAGACAGACAAACAGTCATGAGTGACACAGAATATGATGCTGAAAGTCTTRTAAAGAAAAAAGCAAGTTAAAAAAATAGCCCAAAAGAAACAAAACGAGAAGAAACTGAGCCGAACACAATACCATAAAACACTGCAYTAACGCTGCCAAAAAACGTCAAACTGGAGCAGAACATTCTCATCATTGTCTCCATTTGTATCGTTTCTCCTTCATCCACTGTCAACCTGAGATCCCTTACAACGAAGACAAGTTCAAAGGAAAAAATAACATCTCAACATCCTGCTGTATATTCTTACTTTATGATGCTCTGCCTTTGTTTCTCTTTTTCAGTCTGAC